ACACAAAATAAATTGTGTTCGTATCTGGAAATCAGAGCTTGTTTTCTACATCGGATTCGGATTTAGTGACCCCAAAAAGATATAGAAATCATGGTCTGATCCCCAGATACAAACACGAATTTTTTTGTGGCTACGTAATTTAGGGTTCCATTCAAATGCTTAATTTAAAACCCTAGTTAGGTACTTTATATTTCTCTTGCCATTTTTCTAAAAACTCGTAAATTATAAAGTGTTCTTACTGATTGTTTGTAATATCTTCCCTACATTTGGTGTTATGTTTTCAGCCACTATTTCAGATTAATAATAAGGATCTTTTATGGATTTTGTAAGATCCCACAATGACAAAATAGCTTAGGCATCAGTTTCATTTAAAAATATTTGATTTTTTTTAAATGGCAATAGATAAAATTTTTTGGCGTCTTTCTATGCACTAGTATTTAAAATATTTTTATTTTGAATAAAATCTTTCTTCCAAAATTAGATCTGTAAATGAGAACGTGTAAATTGGTTCAAAATGTGAATAGTTTTTTAGTGATTCTGAGTCAAATAAAATAGAATTTAATAACATTTTCTAAAATCACAGTTCCAAATTGGTTTTTCTACGTTTTTGAATGGATAGTGATAATATGATGAAAATATGACATAATAGCGTTGGGGTGTATTCTTCATATTTGAAAATACACAAATGAAATGTTTGTATTCATCACTAATGTCATTATTATTTGCATTACAGACATTTTTTTATTCTTTATTGAGTTTGTGGGTACAAGGACTTCAAACCGTTTTTATTAAGTTTTTCGAAATGTCAAAACTTTTATGTGAAAATGAGCTCAAAATTTCACCTTTTCAGAAACGCTCAAACGACATTTTCTCAAAAAAAGAGACTACAAATGTTTCAATTAAAAGTTAACATACAGAATCATGTTTTACTCTTCTGAAACATTGTCAGTCATATTTTAGTTTTACTTCTAGGAGTCCGAAAAATGTGAAAAACGGAAAATTTTGAAGATAGTGTCATTTTGGCGCCGATAGGTAGCAGCTGGGTTATTTTATATATCAAAATTAATCTGATCAGAACCACTTAAGATAGAAATTATACATTGAACAGTTTCTGTTTCATCTGCTGGGTAAAGGTCCGAAACATATTTTCCCTTGGGGATCTCCCTGATATCACCCTTTCCATCTCCTCGAAAGATCTCTTTCGTTCAAAGTTCTCCTCGGTCAATGCAAAGCTGCTTGTAAAAAGTTAACGGTTCATTCATCTCCCACTTCTTTCTGTAGTGGTTCTTCAAAAGTTTTTTTACGTCCTCCAGCTTGTTGGGATTGATAACTTATTTCGCAATGATATTTGAAGTGTTTTTTTTCACAATTTCTCTTGCTTGCAGTTGAATTTTGCAACCTCACTAATGAAATTGTAGCCGATTTCTCCTTTAGCTCTGATCTCACGAGACTTGTTTATAATGTTTCGCTTCCTTGAGGGAAAGTTAAAGAGCTATTATTTGCAAGCAAAATGGCATTGTCTGATTCAGCAAGGTAGGTTGTGGTCTTAGGTATCCCCGTTACAGGCAATGTATGCCTTGCACTTCTATATTAGTGGTCAAGCGATAGAATATTTCAGTCTTCTCCGAAAATGTTCAAATCTACAAATGCTCTCACTTTGTTTTGACTTTTTTCCTGATAATACTTAAGTAGCAGTCTTTGATAACGGAAAATTTGTTTATGGCAAAACTGCCTACGTGTCTCTCAGACTGTCTCTCAGACTGTCCGCAGACACTACTAGCGCCTAAACCGCTTGTATTCCACACAATTGGCATTCTCCGATGGATTTGGAAGCCTAAGAATCATAAAAGGAACTTTGTTTTTTGGGGAATAATGAAACCATCACAACATTGTCAAAATGTTTAAAAAATAGTTCACATTTTTACTTTGCTTCTTACATTTCTTTTGTGGACAGAGGAGAGTACACTTACAAAAATATTGCCGATCTCCATTTTCGAAAATTGCAAAAGATGTAATTTTTCAGGATCATCCTATAACTATAATATGGAGATAGTAAGGCGTGAAGGTAAACATCTCTATGTTGTGTGTCAGTGCTTCGATTCGCCGGAAATCCCCTTTCACCTCCATCGCCCCCACTCCCGCCCCGCAAGTTAGCATTTTAACCACCTTTTAGGAAAGAAACGCCCTTCCACCTTCTTAGGCTCACGATTCTGGTATATTCCGTTGCCGGAAGTCTGGCGCTTAGATATTTCCAAGAAAGAAATTACTCCTGAATTATTATTTTTGGAAAGCCTAGCCTCACTTTCAATTTCACAAACAATTTCAACGACCCGAGATTTGATAGGGTACTGTGGGATCCCATTCCAATACCACCAAAAGTTATACCTGGCGTTATTTTATGTCTGTGTGGAATGTATAAGTAGTATTATAATACAATATGGTAACAGTGTCTACACTCTCAGAAGAATTCTTTGATAACCATAAACATGTGATTCAAATAATTATGGCACTTTTCCTTTTTCCTCCATAACCATCACTTGCTATTTGAGTGGTCTCAAACCCTTAAGTCAGAATTAAATATTATTTGGTGCAGAGCAGAATTAATCACATTTTCACCTTAATTCGCAATAACTTAATAATAATCGTATAATAATCTTCACTCAGCTTCGTTATGACTAAATCTGAGTTTGGCAATATGTTTAGAATATAATATACTGTGGACCTGAAATATAAAATCAGTATCAGAAAATATTTAGACGTTAAGAAAAACTGTTTTTCTCGGTGGGCATAATGCCGCTCATTCAGCCCTGGAATTGAAGAGTCTTGAAAAAGGACTCAATTTTAAATACATTTAAAGAAAAATAAAATCTGCATATATTTTAACAGCAAACACGTGATTGATCAATAGAATACAGCGCGATAAGTATTTTGTAGACAAACGCGTTTTCAAAATAGACGATTCAAAAAATAAACCATATATTAGACTTTCTTTTTTTGATGAAATGTGTAAACTTTATGACTTTTACCAATATATCCCTGTCAGGCTGTGAAAATGCTAAATTTTGAATTTCAATAATGAAACCAAATTATCACAAAAATAAATGCATCTGATTTCAGAAAACTTCAGACGCAATAAACATTAAAGAAAGTTTAATAATAAATATAAATATTCCTCTGTTTTATGTAGTACTGATAAATTAGATAATGTTAAAAAAATTATCATTTCCAGATCCGTTAACCAGTTTATTCTCCCAAGATTGTTCGTGACCTCATGCTATCAAATTTTCTTCCTCTCATCGTTCTGGCAATTAATTATGAACAATAAGCAAAATTCCCTAAAATTAGTATTCTCTTTAGTATTTACTACGCACTGAAAATAATTTCATTTCCTGGAGACTCCGTTAATGCTTTCTGAATACAACATAAGATAAATATCAATAATGTGTAATTTGTCTTGCCGTTGCCATGTAACATAGTTAATTTACTTTCGGCCAACGACGCTGCCTCCTCGATTTCCTCTCTCCTTTCAAAATTTTTATCAAAATGTAAGTGCATCACTTCTTTCCGTGTATTACAGTATTTTACAGTTATAAATTATGGACTCTTTTGGTTACTGATATGTTCTCATGCTTCTTAACCATATATTACAATAATACTACATTTTTCGTAATGTCCCCAATAAGTGTGAATACTTATACAGGGTATTAGAAGAAAATCAAAACAAATTTGAATTACTTTAATGTGTTATTGGAGAACCTATTACAATATTTCTACATTGCAGTTGGTGCGTCGTAGAAATCATGTAATTCGCAACAAATTATGTATTTAACACTACCAACGAAGACAAAAGAGTCTTAATATTTTCAAACCATTATTTCTTCGTGAATATAATATCTCAGCGTCAAATTTAGTGGCTATAATATCACAGCGACAAATCACTCGAATAAAGGCTAACGAATGAGAAAGACCAACTACAGCTTTAATGGAAAGTATTTGTCTGAATGTTATTTTCAAAATATCATTTTATTTTTATTAAATTCAATCAGAGAATGCACACACAAAAAAGAATTGTCGAATTAAGCTTTAGATTTATGGAGAGAAAACGACCAAAGTGGTAGATAAATAAAAATAAACCAGAATTATCCAAAAATTCAACATCTTCGTTACTATCAAATAAGTTGATTCACGTGCCGCATTTCGGGCCAAAAAATCAACAAAGCATTTTCTATTATTAGAAAACTGCTTCGATGTTCATGCTGAATAGTATAATCATTTACATATATTTATCCTTGCCATTCATGACTTTCAGGACATTTTGGACCAAAAGATGCTTCCATAGCAAGAAAATGGCGCTAACTTACATATCTTTTAAATTTTTGCACAACAACCATTTGAAGAGGAGAATTAGTAATGATTTACAGAGGTTCTAAGAATGCCACTGACATTTTTTTCAAAATGAAAGGTGTAAATAAATCAATTATTAATTTTCTATAGCAATCTATTAGTAAACAATAACGATATCAATAAACTAAACCTAATCATGATTATTCCAATGAGCATTTTAAGCAGTTTTGAAACAGTTTTTAGGCAGTTTTGAAAATTTTAAGCAGTAATCTCTATTTATGCTCATTGTCCCTAAAGGGAGCAGTCAAAATAAATAGTTTCTTTCCTAGCTAAAGAGAGAAATGCGAATTTGTAAATATTATACCAACACACATCCACAACAAAACATACCTGCAAATTTTTGAATCTCTTAACGCTAGAGGTTGATATAGCCAAGATCCCTAAATGCGCTCTTGACCATGGCGTATTTATGACTAGCGGCGATACAAATTTCGTTTTTCTCAATTGGGCACGTTCGTTATATTTTAGGACATACTTTACCATGAATTGAGTACAACTTACATTTTCTTTGCGACGTCAAAAAAGAAATTTGTGTTGTTTGGAGAAAAAAGAGAGCTAAATATTTATGCTATTCTTTTTTACAGTTTAAAGTCAAAATGCGTGAAATAGTACATGTTCAAGTTGGCCAGTGCGGCAATCAAATTGGTGCTAAGGTTGGTATTTTATACAATATAACAATCTTTAATAGAAATCCATGTAACCTTAAATGTCACCAAAAACGTGCTTCATTTTTCAGTTTTGGGAAGTTCTATCAGAAGAACATGGAATTGATCAAACAGGAAAATATCACGGACATTCTTGTTTACAATTAGAAAGAATCGACGTGTATTACAATGAAGCGTCAGGTAAGTTCATTTAAATATCTCCGAAACAAAAACCATTAGTCAGTGGACAGATTGGCGGATTGTTTTCACCTACATCGACCGATAATTGATAGCGATGAAGGCTCAAGAATTTCGAACACAATCTGTTCAGATTCATTATTCTCCTTTTGTGCCACAGTGTTGTTAAAGAATGAGTATTCAACATAATATATTACGCTCGCTTCTACTATCAAACTTGAGATTCGTTTCGCAATGTTAATCCATTGTTATTTTAATTTTTTGAAGTTACAGTTTCCTTTTTCTACGTGAATTTGTTAAACGATAGCATAATGTGCTGAAAACTAACTTCAAAGGAGTCTCTTAATCTGCAAATAAGTTTGGAAGTAATTGCGTAAACGCGCCAGCAGAGACATAAAGTTAAGAATATCTTCAAAAGTTGCTCAAAATTCTTGGGCAACAGTACCAAATTCGCTGTGTAACTTAGTTGCCAATTATCATTACACTTGCATGGCTAATTTTTAATTCGTTCAATTTTTTATTACCGAAATCCCATAATGTTCCAGAAGTGGCCTTTTGAAAATTGCAAAGCATTGGTAATGGACAAACATTGGCTTAGATATGGTTAATAATATTTTGAACCCCTTAAACGATTTGAGTCAAAGAAGGTCAAAAAGCATCGATTTGTGTTACAGTATTAAAATACTAATATTAATACGATGTTTACAGTTCGTTCTTTTAATGAGGAATAATGGAAAATAATAAAATCTTCGTCCTAATCCTCAATAATAAAAGGCTTTTTTAGCGTTTAAAACACGTGGAAAGCCTCGATTTCGTATTTTTCATATTTTGTACATGAAGTGATCGGTACTGACGCATTAGCTATTACTGCTGTCGTTACCTTATTTAGTTACAACTTTCCTGTTTGACTGCATTTAAACGCGATCTCTGTCAGAAGGTCAACTACTCACTTTAAACCCAACTCGCCGATAACAGAGTTTTGGTAGGAAACGACTGCTAGTCATGGATGTTTATTAACTCGCTTTCACGGTGTTCATATATAGTATGAGTACTGCGCTTAAATTATTGTATTTATTTCTTATCAGTTTTTCCTACAAAAATATCGTCAAGGATATTCTTTCAATACACCCTTTGTACACATATTTCAAGATCATAAGGATCAATACCAGGTGAATGCCGGAGCAGTACCCTCGCAAACGAGCCTCGCACCGTACGCGATCTTTCTTTCCTCTTCCTTGAACTATCCTCACCCCTTACTCAAACTCACGCTAACGGGCACTACCCTACCATACATGCTAGGAGACCAGTCGGGAGCTTAGAGCTCGGTAGGGGAGAACCTCGCAAAGCCGACGTGTAGGTCGGCGCCGGATACCTCGTGGTAGATCGTGGGTAGATCACCGCCACCTCCGGCGAGAAAAGGTGGGAAAGATGGTTCAGGGCATTATCTGATGCCCATTATCTATTATCTGATGTCACTGCAGTCCTGACCGGGATGTCCTAGGTTCGAGACCCGACGGTGGCAGGAGTTTCGCCTAACTTGATAGCTAGGTCGAATTCAGTCGCTGTCTGGAGGAGGATTCTAGCGGCCAGCTGCTCTGATCGGTAGGTTACCGTGGTTTCTCCGATCAATTCCAAGCGAACGCCGAGTAGTGCCCTAACAAACGGGCCACGGACGGCGCGCGATCTTTCCTACTTCTTCCTTGTTTTATCCTCTTCCCTTACACACACACACACACACACACACACCAACATGCACTACATAAGCTCACATGCCGGGAGACCGGTCAAGAGCTTGTAGCTAACCCGGCAGGGCCCATCCTGTTGGTGGGAGATTCCATGGGGGAAAACCCGCTAGCTGACGGTTGGTCGGAGCCAGATCTTGCCATACAGCGAGGGAAAATATCACCCCCCCCCGAGAAAAACATGCACTGCACTTACTGAACCAACGACCCTGGTAGTTGACGAGCCCAGAATCAAAAAAAAACAACAATCATGCAATCAATTAATCCGGTGAGAAAAAATCCTGCATCACACTGACGGGGCTAGTTAAATTAGAAATGACCGCGCCTGGCATCACTTTAACCAACCGACGTTGCAGACAAAAGGTACGTGCCGCGCGCGGTGCTGGTGGACCTGGAGCCCGGCACCATGGAGTCGGTGCGCTGCTCGCCCTTCGGCCGCATCTTCCGGCCGGACAACTTCGTGTTCGGGCAGTCGGGCGCGGGCAACAACTGGGCCAAGGGCCACTACACGGAGGGCGCCGAGCTCATCACGTCCGCCATGGACGCCGTGCGCAAGGAGACGGAGGCGTGCGACTGCCTGCAGGGCTTCCAGCTGACGCACTCGCTGGGCGGCGGCACGGGCTCGGGCCTGGGCACGCTGCTCGTGTCCACGCTCAAGGAGGAGTACCCGGACCGTGTCTCCACCACCTTCAGCGTCATGCCCTCGCCCAAGGTGACGCCAACGCCTTCCCCGTTCTACCCATTGTATTACGCATATTTCAAACTTAGGATACACAAGGTACACTTATATGTACCCCAAGCAAATCACATGTTTTGCATTTCCCGCCCTTGGCTTCAGATTAAAATTGTTCTAATGTCAACAGTATCTTCTTCTAATATCAAACATTGCGGACTGAACTACATAAAAGATTCCGATTGTATGTAAGAAACATTTCATCATCACATTCATTTGGAATTTAAATGTATATTCGCATTATCCGCGCGTTTCCTTGAGCCCTCTTTTCGCTGGATGCGCGAGGAGTGAGCAGGGGAGGGAGCGTATTTCGACCACAGGACTATTACTATTACAGGAGGGTCGGTCCCACATTTTCCCCTTCATGCAATAATAATGGTAGATAGCTGTACTTGTTAACCTTTCAAAGTTTCGAACTTCTAGCGTTAGTATACGAAGTTTCAAGTCTCTCCTACAATGGCAGTTTCTTTAAAAAGTGTTAAAAGGGTGGCTGTATACGACGTATTTTACAACCAACGAGCTGTGATTGAGTTCCTCGTTGCGGAGAAGGAAACTGTTGTGAACATCCACAAACACTCGTGTGCAGTGTATGGCACTTCTGCTGGCGCCAGGAGTACCGTTGGACGTTTGGGTAAACGATATAGGTGTTGTGGTAGGATATCTTTGGCATTTTAAAAATAATTAAAGATGTTGTCATTGCCAACAATGTTTTTTAATTCAAAAGCAGCTTTCGATGGCTTAGCCATCGAAAGCTGCTTTTGAATTAAAAAAAACATTGTTGGCAATGACAACATCTTTAATTATTTGGGTAAACGAGTTAGAGCTTCGGAAAGTGAAGAATGCGATCTCCATGATTTGCCGGGCTCCGGGTACACAGCACAGCTACTAGTCCTGACATGCTGATCACTGTCTTTTGGGATATTGATGGGATCATTCATATTGATGCTATGCCCAAAGTTAGTACCGTTAATTTAAATTCATACACCAACACTCTTAATACCTTAAAGAAGCAGTTCCCACGAGTTCAATCCCAGAAGATTTGTGCACAAAGCTTGTCTTTTCACGATAACGCATCCACCCACCCGCCCACACACACACACACACACACACACACACACACACACACACACACACACACACACACACAAGTGCTGCAACAAGAGGAGCACAGAAAAAAGTTGTCTGTGCTTCCTCATTCACCATGTAGTCCGTATTTAGCTCCCTCCGATTTCCATCCCTTTGAGAAACTGAAAGACGCTCTTTGTGGAGGAAAAATTGAAGATGACTTGAAGGGCAAAAAGGCACTGCCGTCAGGAAACGACTTGGTACCAGCAAGGCATGCACGTCCTAGTTTTACGCTGGCGCAAGACTGTACAACTCGCTGGAAAATATATGGAAGAATAAAGCCTGTAGAACAACCATGTATTAATATAATGTGCAAATTTCATATTCTTCCAATAAATATTTCTGAAGAGAAAAAAATGAAAGGCATTACTTTCTGACCGACCCTCGTATTTGATATACGAGTACGATTCCGTTTATTAAATATGTAGCTCGTTTTCCGATAAAACAATTTTTACCAATTATTAAAGTATTAAAAACACGTGCCGGTGTAATACAACCATAATACAATCATAAGACTATTCTGTATTTGTCAACATTAGAACAATATTAAACAAAAGCCAAAAGTATGAAATGCAAAACATATGATTACTTGATTGCATGTAACTGTGTACCCCGTATATCCTAAGTTTGAAATATATGTTGATGTGTTTATTCTATGAATAGGTCTTAACTTCAAAACAGTATCATGTTTAAATTATAATCCGTAAGTCTGCTGGTCATAATTGCCTATTGAGTTTCATTTGATGTGTGTTTATGTGCACTTTGAAGTGTAGTTTCATTTTACAACGTGAAATCCACGCTATTCTGCTATGTTTAAATGGTAACGGAAAATAAGTTAGAAAGTAATTTTTTTGATATTTTCTTTTCTCCCGTCCAAGACCCTCTTTACAGGTAACGAGTGACAGGAGATACTTTCTAATGTTTTCGGAAGTGGGCAGAAGATGTGAAAAGTGCCATGCTTCATTGCGCATATTTGACCATATTTAGTGTTAATGACACCATTAAATATTGGAACTCGTTTGGAAAGTAGGCTAATTGACCTCATTGAAATGCCATGTTTGAAAATGTATTAAATACTGAATATCATGATGCATAAGACACTGTTATAAACTTCTGAAAGTTCACTACCATACAGTTATTTATTTCCGCCAAAATAAATTGTAATTTCCTTGCCAATAGACTTTTAAATTGGATATAAAATGTGTATTGTAAATGGACAAATGAAAGGTAAGACTTAACTCCAGAAGTAATGTGTGATTGGTAATAATACTTATTATTTATTAGAACTTTACCTTCAATGTTCAATATTAGTTTTTACTCCAAATATTATATATTTCACATCCAAGTATTAGAACTTAAGGGTCTGCAATAATATGTCACGAAGTTTCTTGAATTCGTATAAAATTTGTACTATTTCATTATCTGCACATATATATATATATCTGTGTGTGTGTGTTTGTGTGTGTGTTTGTGTGTGTGTTTGTGTGTGTGTGTGTGTGTGTGGTGTGTGTGTGGTGTGTGTGTGGTGTGTGTGTGGTGTGTGTGTGGGTGTGTGTGTGTGCATACTTGCAAAGTTTCTGATCATCTTTCATCTCAAAATTGAAGCTCATTCCAGGAAAAAATGAAGCAACAACAAGGCATCTTAACACATCTAATAGAATGTGCAATAATATTCTAAAAAACTAAATTGATGCTGATTTCGTCAATTTTTTAAGTTTTGTATGCCCAAATTCTTTTCGTATTAAGTGTTTTTCTTCTTGCAGGTATCCGACACAGTCGTCGAGCCATACAATGCAACGCTGTCGGTCCATCAACTAACGGAAAACACTGACGAAACGTTCTGCATAGATAACGAAGCTCTCTACGACATTTGCTTCCGAACTCTCAAACTCGCCCAACCAAGTTACGGAGACCTGAATCACATAGTGTCTATCGTTATGTCCGGCATCACTACGTGTTTGCGGTTTCCTGGCCAACTGAACGCAGATCTTCGAAAACTAGCTGTCAACATGGTCCCGTTCCCACGCCTCCACTTCTTCATGCCAGGTTACGCCCCTTTGACAGCTCGCGGGAACCAACCCTACGCGAATATCACAGTGTCCGAACTAACGCAGCAAATGTTCGACGCAAGAAACATGATGGCTGCCTGCGATCCCAGGAACGGAAAGTACTTGACCGTGGCGACCGTGTTCCGCGGAAAAATGTCCATGAAGGAAATCGACGACCAGATGATGAATGTTCAAAACAAGAACAGCAAGTTTTTCGTGGAGTGGATCCCTAATAACGTGAAAACCGCGGTCTGCGATATCCCGCCTCGCGGAATGAAAATGTCGGCCACATTCATCGCCAACTCCACGGCCATTCAAGAGCTGTTCCGTCGAGTAAGCGAACAATTTAGCATGATGTTTCGACGCAAAGCGTTCTTGCATTGGTACATTGGCGAAGGAATGGATGAGCTGGAGTTCACAGAAGCGGAATCGAACGTTAATGATTTAATATCAGAGTATCAACAATACCAAGAAGCGTCTTCAGAAGATGATATGTTTTTTGATGACTTGGAAATCGAGGAGGCATAGCGAGAAAAATTATTTATAAAAATTCAAGAAAATCATGTCAACGAAACACTTTAAATTTCGTCAAACCTGGATTTGTTTATTACTATATTTTGGATTTTCCTAATTTAAAATTCGCTATTTATGTAATATTTATACTCCATCCCTATTTACCTTTTTTATTCTTTTGTAATAAATTTTTTTTCACTCAAAGTATAAAAAGTTATATATTTGCGTAGAAAATTAAAAACTGCAAAACTTTGAAGGCATTAAAGTGCCTGCAGGGGGTAATTTGAGGACATACGGGAAGTAAGTCTCTTATTCCATTGTTCGATGAACGATAATTCTAGTTGCGTTGAACATCATATTATTCCGATATTCTTTCATACTTTTTAAGTCAGCCATGTATTTAGCGATCAAATTTCGCCATTTACCATTTTGCCCATGTCTGCTACACTTTCAGAGAAGAATTTTTGTTTATTACCTCATATGATACAATATGAATTCATTTAGAGGAAAAAAGTGTGATTTGCGTTAAGTAAAGAGAGATTTTGTCCCATGATTATATTTTGTTTCAACGTATGCGCCGAAGAAAGCAAACACTGAAGCAGTCAACAGTAAATAATAGTATACATAGAGTTCAGAAATGCGCTTTTTTTGTTTTTTGTTATGGCCCGAAGACGTTAAAAGGTAAACCTATCTCTTGTAGACACTGCGCCTTCCTATTTAACCAAATTTATTGGTGGTGTGGGAATACTACGCGCTAACGATCTAGGGGTGTCCTACTCGAAAGTTTAGAGACAAAGCGTTTTGTTCTATTAACAAATACTTTTTTAACGTTATAATACACTAGGAAACCTGTTAAAATAGGGTTTTGATAGATTTGGTCAGTTTGTTGCAAATGTACATAAAGTTATTCCCTCAAAAATCTCTGATAATAGTGTAACGTATTAGCCAGCGTGCCTCGTGGCATCTATTTGGGGACGCTTGGCAGGATTAGTCAGGAAGATCAGTAAGACTTAAAAATAGTAAAACACGCAGCACATTGACACCATCGATGTTCAAATTACTTCCGGGTTGGGCAACTTGTGGTCTACAAGGAAGTCTGTTTTCTAGTCACGACATCGAGACTATTTTCCAAGGCCTACAATACACCTGCACAACTTGTTTCCATGCTAAAAACGCAAGAGACCCAACTATCCCTCAGCAAAGGGCCTCTAAGGATTTGCTGCCGCTTTGTTTTTAACATCGGGACCAAAGTCAAACATACAATTAACACCCGTTCTCTCCAAACACAAAAAAAGGAACTGTTCCCTTTTTTTGCCACACGAAGAGGTCAAAGGCAAATGGGTCCCCGAACAAAACGCTCTTTCCGGCGTGGAACACATCAAAAAGTTTTTGAAGACCTTGGAAAAGGTTTTTAATTGTTTTCAGAAATGGCATCTATTCCCCGCGTTACACGAGTAATGCAGGAACACAAAATCCCGAAAAAAAGTTCCGGAAAAAAACCCAATCGTTCCTTGTCCGGGGTACCGAGTTAGCACAGGGTCTTGGTAGGGGTTCCCAACTAGGAGTTTATGTAGAATCCCGTGTACACACAAATTATACCCAAGAAAAAGGTTTTTAATGAACTGTTTTTTTTCCGGTAAACCCTCTTTTTTCAGTACCCTCACACTGGACTCGCACGTCGCCATTTACTAAAGCATAAACCGGGTCTGTGAGACCGAAGGTCGGCCACACACATTGAAAATCTTCCACACCGCTCAACACAACGAAACTTCTTCGCGGCTCAGCAAAAAGCGGCGTCGGGCGGCAGCCACTCGGAAAGCCTGCGTGAAGCGCGGTCAACAGGTTTTCGCGGCGCTGGAAAATTCCACACGTGCCTGGCGCACCCCCGTCCGCTCGAGCCCTGCTCGCACGCCGCTGCCCTACCCTCATGCCCTGGCCCAAGCGCGGAGTTCGGCGAGCGAGCGTTGCTCTCGGACAGCCCGAATTAAGCAACTTCAGCGGTCAGGACGCCGGGCGCGGGGCGGGGCGGCGCGGCGCGGCGCAAACCTCCGCAAGCCTCTCCCCTGGCAGTTTTGGGCACAGGCCCACGACGCCAGCCTCCCCGCCACGTTCGCGCACCGCTCCGCGCCGCCTGCCCTGTCCCGTCCGCCCCATCTCAACTCGCCCTGCCCGCACTGCCCTTCCCCGTCCGTCCGCCCGCGGTCACCTCGCCTGTCCTCGCCCCGCCCCGCCCACGCCCCGCTACCGCTCCGCTCCTCTCGCCAGCCCCGCCCCCGCCCCGCCCAGGCCCGTCCAGCAAGGTCCCCTCCTTGGCTCTGCTTCTCTCCAATGTTTCTACTCTCGCCTTACTACCACGCACCGTTTCTCCCTAAATCCCCTAGCTGCTGCCCCGTCTCCACTCGTTCCATCCAGCTCCGCCGACAAGCAAAACCCTTCCCCTCACACTCCTGTCTGCACCCCTGCTCTCCGGCCACACAAGCACTGTCGAACCCCGGCCCCAGCCGTGCGTGCTTTCGGCGCTGCCTCCACCAGCTCCCGCCCCTCCCACAACATCAAGCACTGCCACAACGCACTAGCCATGTCCCGCTCCCATCCAGCTTCCACCCATGCCTACGTCCGACAAATCCGGCTCCGTTCTCGCGCCACTTCCGTCGCCGCCGCATCCCTCCAGCTAAGCTCCGCGCCTTTCCCAGCTCCAAGCCCCTCAAGCTACCATCGCCGCTTTCGCCTGCTCCCGTGCAGCAAAAAAATCCCACCCCTGTCTCGCGCCACTCCCATCCGGCATCCCAACCCAACCCCTCCCATCACCACATGTTCGCCTCCCCCGCGCCAACCACGTCCCGGCTCTAGTCCCTAAGTCCCCCCCAACACTTTCACGCCTACTTTCCGTCCTACTCCTATCCAGCACCACTCCCGCTGCCGCACCGCTCTTGCCGTGCTCGGCAGCGCGTCTCGGCTAGCAGTCTTCTTCCCCCATTTTTCTGTCTTTTTTTTTCCGTCCTGTATACCTCTCCCCCGCTCCGCCCCACTCCCGCCCCGCTCCGCCCGCCCGCCCCGCACAGCTTTACCCCGCTCTGCCTGCTTT